GTAAGGCTAGCCCGGTTTCAACAACCTGACGGTGTTTGCATTCCACACGGCCATTTTGCTCGTGGGTGTGCGGGGATGACTGTCTATGTAAAATACCAGCGGAGGTGATGTAGTTTACGGTATTCACCTCCTACGTCATATTGTATACACTTAATGGATTTTGAGAAACATTTTTCTACTGTGGTACGAAAAACATTAAACACATAATATATATCTGGTTTAAATTTCATTGGGTAATACCACGCATAGCGGGAAAAATCATCTACAAAAAGCACGAAGTACTTATGACCATCTACTGACGGGACATGAGACGGTCGCCAAATGTCCGTAAAAATTAAATCAAGTACAGAATTACTAGACTGCTCAACTCAAGGGAGCGGGAGCGCGCAGACTTTCCCATCTGACACGCAGTACATAAATTATTTAGGGAATTAAAAGAACCTTTAACTGGACAATCAGAGAGAATTTGATGGAGTACGTGAGTGTGCAGGTGGCCAAGGCGATTGTGCCATACTCGCGGGGATGTTTTAGCTGAAACGAATGCAACTGGAGAAGACGTATTGAGTGAGTACATCCCTCCGAGACTGGGACCTTTAAGAAGAACTTGCTGGGTGGTACGGTCCTTCACAACAAAATGCGTAAGATGAAACTCAAAAATCAAAATAAACGTCATTATCACGAGTAAATTTGTGAATAGATATTAACGAAACACGAAATTTAGATACATGTAGAACACCATTTAGAGACAGTGACTGGGACTTAGAGGGTAAAGTTAAAGAGTCGATGTTTCGTATTGACAAACCTGAGCCGTCACCTACTCGTAGCGTCTCGTCACCGGTGTATGGTTTAACATGATTTAAGTTGGAGACATGTGGCGTGGCGTGCGCATTCGCTCTAGTGTCTGGAACCCATACTTTGGAAAACGGTGCGGAAACATAGCCCGGCTCCTGCTGTTGTTGAGAAACCATGTGCGCCTGTGGTGGTGTTGCTGCATAGGGTACTGCCGGTAAGGGACTAAACCGGTGGCCAGAGTAGTCGACATACCGCCGATAGCAGTTCAGCGCCGTGTAGCCAGGAGCCTCGCAAATTTGACACCGTACTCCACCACGGCCGCGACCTCGCCCCCTTTGGCCTTGATTGCTGCGACCTCGTCCACGGTTGGCACTCAGAGACGACGAGGGATGTTGCACCACCATACCCGACGACATTTGAGGAAGGGCTGGGGCGGACTCCTCCTGAAACAAATACTGATGCATCGCCAATACGAAGCGCCTGGAACACGTGCAGATTTTGTTCGTCGAGGCCGATAGGTCGCCCGGTCTGAGCGAGTTGTTCAACCAGCACCTGCGCCTTGCCGAGGTACTCTGCCGACAAGGAGTTCCCTTGACGAAGACCTTGAAGTTGCATGAGCAAGCTTAACGACCGTGTACGCGAGGTAGAACCAAGGGCAGATTCGATCGCCATCCATACCGATCGTGAAGTCGTATGACCAATAACAAGGTATAAGGCATCTTCTGCCATTGAAGAAATCAACATGCTCAGTAAAGACTGGTCTTGTTGAACTCAAACTTCATGAAGAGGGTTGATGGTTTGGGCTGTCGTCGACGTTGAGAATGTAACGAACTTCGGCGGGCACAGACTCGTGTCGTCGACAAAACCATATAGTTTTTGACCTCGGAAGAAGGGTACGAGTTGGGCTTTCCAAAAAAGGTAATTGGATGAGGAAATCTTTATAGAGACGTAATGATGGGCTTGGTGAAGCATGTTCGATGAACGAGGTTCCGGGATAGTGATAACGGCGGCCGGAACACCAGAGGAGTCATTGTTGGCAACAGGAATTGGTGGGTTTTGATCTTCGGCCATTAGGATCAAATGGCACAATTGATACCAGATGAAAAAATATTACTTGAGTGTATTTATTCAAGTGATTCACAAAACTATTTATACAGAGGAATTGACAGAAAAGTAGACAACTAACTCAGTGAATATCTAACTAATCCCATACATCTTCTAACTGCTCAATAATAATAATAATAATAATAATAATAATAATAATAATAATAATAATAATAATAATAATAATAATAATAATAATAATAATAATAACAATAATATCAATAATGACGACAACAACAACAACAACAACAACAACAACAACAACAACAACAATAATAATAATAATAATAATAATAATAATAATCATAATCATAATCATTATCATTATCATTAGAGTTAACTCCATTTTTTGGTCCTACTTTTATTGGGGCATGTCCAATTTTAGTCCACCTTAATTAATTTTGTCACATTGCGGCCACTATTTTTGAACTCATACCACTTTTAGTCCATCGTTAGTTTGCCGTCTAGTGACCGTCTAATCCGGAGGCTTTTTGGTCTTTTCATGTTATGCTCTCCTCCTTTAAGCTTTTCGCAGGTTTTCCTTTCCCATTCCTAGTCACATTGCAACAACTCTGCGATTTCTTCTACCACTCAAACCCACAATCTACAATTTGAAAACTAAAAGCTTTAGAAGGTTGAGATCGAATGGAAAGACACAAAGAAGAAAACTTTAATTCTTCGAGTTCTTCTACTACAATGAGGAATTGAAGTGCTACTTGTATGGGGAATGGATTTCAATTCAACAATGTGAATGTGGGCAAGAAATGATTTTGAAGACATTATGGACAAACAAGAATCCCGATAGGAGGTACTGGGAATGTCCAAAATGTAAGGTTCGTATTTAAAAAAAAAAATCAATATTTTTTAATGCTTTTTTTTTTTTAAATTTTTTACAATGGATCAATTTTGTATGTAATTTATTTTGTACTGCTTGGGTAAATTTTTGAATTGGGATTTTTTTTTTTTTAAATTTTTGTTTCAATTTCGCAATTTTAAGGATGGGTCATGTGGATTTGTGAAGTGGTATGATCCCCCAATGTGTCGTAGGTCAAAGAGGATAATACCTGGGCTATTGAAGAGAATTAACAAAAATGAAGAAGAAATTGCAAAGTTATATATGCTAGTGTTCACGTGAATCTACCCTATTATATGAGTCCGTGTGAAATTTGGGCCAGAATACTTGAGATCAATGACTTAGATTTGGCCAACTGTGCAACTTCGTAACTGTGCACTTCACTTGCACAGTTCGTGAAATCTAAGCCATTGATCTCTGATAAGTGCCAAAGACACTTAGTTTTAAGGTCTATTAGGGGTGTAGTTTGAGCTCAATTATGATCCTTTGTCTACCATTTTGAGTCATTTAAGCTATGTTGTGCATTGTGCTTTAAATTATCACCACACTTTGTGTTTTTGTGAATACTAGGAAGGTTTGAGCTAAAAGGAGGCATGGCGGCGCATTCTGGAGCAAAGCGGGACAAGGAAACAAGCCAAAGCCAAGCCAAGAAGAGTCAACGTTCGTTGGACGTGCATGGGGAGAAAACAGAAACGTCAACGCACGGTCTAACGTGCGTTGGATGATCACGTAGTGGTGCGAATAAGTGACCGGCCAACGCACGTTAGCCGGTGCGTTGAAGCGCGCGTTGGAACATCACTTATGCGGAAATTGAAGGGGAAAAAGGGAGGGAAGCTATTTAAGTGGCTAGGATAGATTAGAATAGGGAGTTCTTGATAATTTTAGATTATAATTTCATATTTTAGACTGAGAAACACATTTAATTTTCTAGCTCTATCTTCTCTCTAGCTCTCTAGTGAAGATCAATTGAAGAAGGAGATTGACACTCTTCCAATTCAAGAGATCATCAATTGTAATCTACTTTGGTACATTTCTTTACTTTAATATTTCAATTGTTTACTTAGATTCATGATTGCAATTTCAATTCTTATGTCTTTGATTGGCTAGATTAGCTAGGGTTTGAATTGTGATGTTTCGATTCATGATGCCAATGTGACTTAATTCTTAGATTAGGTGTTGAATGTTGCTATGCTTGGAAATCTTGTTGTTGTGGATTGTTTTGTATGCATCCTAGGAGCTAGGCCACCTCCTAGGGTTGTGTTAAGCTTGAAGCTTCTATCCTTGACACTTTATAGCCTAATGATCCGAGAGGACTAGGTTGGAAAGGAATTGTAGGCAAGGTATTCAAGGAATGGTCATAGAGACTCTAAGAGCCCAAAGGGGAATTCTATTGTCTACTAAGACAAGTCCTAGTAATTGAAGAATGAAAGGACACAAGCTCTATCCCTAGATTCTAGCATATGCATAGTCCTACATCTATGGCCAATGATCTTGAGTCCATCGTGAACAAAACTAACAATTCAACCCTACTTTCATTTCATTGTTTAGTTAATTCAATTTGTTTGTTGCTTGTTACTACAACCATAATCAAAATGCGTGACACGACCTCAAGCACACACAAACCTCTTTCTCTATATTGACAATATGAGGCTACTCCAATTTGTCATCCCGGGAGAACGATAGAAATTCGGGATTCATCCCATTTGTTTGACCAATCCAAGAGAAAGGATGTTGTCAATCTCAAGTATTCAGTGCCTCAGATCTGTCCACATGGGCTCATATAACATGGACTAATTTGATCACTAGTATTTTTTTTAGGGTAAAATATCAAAATATATTAAGAAAGAAAAGAGCCTAAAAAAAGCTTGGGGGATGCTCACACGGCAAGCTGAGTGAGCTGACCAAGCACCATCCCGCCTTTGCAAGGGAATGGCTGGGCAACCTGGTTGTCACATCTACAAACATAACGAACCTTGTAGTTACTATATAATAGAATTTAAAAAACAAACACAATCATAAATAACAAGACTGTTGTAAGAGTGATCAGCTGTAGATAAAGTATTGCAAAGACTTAAACAATCCGACTCGACTTGAACTTGTATTTGATCACTAGTGCTGCATACATTAAATTAAACTTGCCTAATTTAATTTAATATATAAGAGTATAAGATCCCTTTTTCTTTAAGGTATGCAGCATTATATTAGCATAAACGCAAATAAGGCCGGCAAGGTATTAAGGAATCATTTTAATAATTTAAGAATAACAATTTATTACTCCGTAACAAATTAAATCAGATACAGTACAGTAACTAATTCACTATATATGAAAGGGGTGGAATGCTTTGCTCATTCCTAAAGAAATTATGAGGGTCAACTTTTGTCTTAACTCTAACAAGCCTTTCAAAATTGTTCTGGTAATACTTGACCCCCCAATTCTTAGACTGCCTATCATAGGTTGAATTAACCAAATTATTTGTCCCAATATCAAGATCCCTGTAATTCACATACGCTTGTCTTGGATTCTTGGAGACGAAGGGAGTGTAGTATTGAAACAGCCTTCTTGTCCAGCTCATGTGGCTTTCATAGGCCTCCTTCCCTGCTTTGCTCCAACTCATAACGTACTGGATTTTGTACAGATTCCCAGCCCTGTGCGGGAATGGAGTCGCCGACTCGGATATCTTGTCCATTATTCCACCGTACGGGCTAAAGATGAGCAAGCCCGAGCTGTTCTCTTTTAGAAAGTCCCAAACCCCTTCCAGGCCTTCCAGGGGGATTGGGTTCTTCACGAAGTCGGATTTTCCTTTGAAGTAATATGGTTTCCCGTTGTTGACGATGGTGCCCAAGAGAGCTTTGGGGTGTGTGCCGTTCGGGAAGCCGTCGATGGTTAGGATGGATTCTATCCAGGTCTTCTCTTCCAGGTCTTTTCTTGTGGCTCCTAATTCTGGGAAACTATGTTGCAGGATTTTAAGAAGGGTGTCGGCTGGTCCGAGGTACAGGGAGTTGAAGATGGCTTGTACGGGGTTTTGGGAGTTCTGTCCGATTGCGATGATTCTGATGAAGAGTTCTTGAGGGAGCTTTGTGGCGATGGATTGCCATTTGTGTACGATTTTGGTGGCGTTTTGGTCCGGAGTTCTGACGATGCTGAAAGTGGTTACGGTTTCGGGAACATCAACTAATTTTACTTTCCATGAAAGAACCACCCCGAAAGTATTCCCTCCCCCTCCTCGGATCGCCCAGAACAAATCCTCCCCCATGGATTTCCTGTCTAAAACCCTCCCCTTCGCGTCAACCAAACGCGCATCCACGACGTGATCCGCCGAGAGGCCGTGTTTTCTGAGCATCATCCCGTAACCGCCGCCGCTAAAGTGCCCACCGACCCCAATGGAGTGGCAAACTCCAGCCGGAAACCCAAGCGTTTTGCTCTTCTCCGATATCCTATAGTACAGCTCCCCAACCGTCGCGCCGGATCCGACCCACGCCGTCTTTTTCACAGTATCCACGGCGACGTTGTTGAAATTGATCAGATCAAGAACCAAGAACGGGTTCTGATCAGCCACTCGCTTCTCTGCCGCCGTCGTGTACGACAGCCCTTCGTAGTCATGGCCGCCGCTGCGAATTCGGACCTGCAAGTTTAACTCCGCCGCGCAAAGGATCACCGCTTGCACCTCGGGTTCTTCCCGCGGTGTTATCACGTAGAAGGGCTTCGGAGTGTCCGAGGAATTGAAGCGGGTGTTCTTGATCGGGTACTGTAGGACGGAGACGAAGGAGGAGTGGTCGGGGGTGTAAATGGCGGTATGGTTTTGTGAGTGGCGAATCAGGCATTGTTTCAGGCCATCATCGTCATCGTTATACGCTAAAGCTTGACGGTTCGAGTACGAGGATAGACAAAGCAAAGAGACAAAGAGAACACAAATAGTATTTGGATTCTTCATTTCTTTTCTTTTCTTTGATTGAAGAGATAAGACGAAGGAATTGTATGGATATCGTGCATGGTTTTATAGTCCCTCTTGCACCAAATATAATTAAGTGAATATTGTCACGTTAATGGTTACGGTTTCGAATTGAGCCATTAATGGGATTTGAATGAAATTTGAGCAATTAATGGGATGGGATTTATTTACCCCCAAAAAAATGGGATGGGATTTATTTACCAAAAACAAATGGGATGGGGATTTATTTACCAAAAAGCAAAATGGGATGGGATTTGAATATTATGTGAATGCAATTTGTTGGGCAGAAACCGGTAAAGGGTCAAGTGTATCCATTACAGGACGTTTGGTTGGGAAGGGAATTATGGCAAATTATACCGTACATCCGTGTGCACCATGCATGGTGCACATAGATGCAAAAATGACATCGTTTTGACTAAAAACACGCGTCCAACTTAAAAAAAAATCAGTTTCGATTCCCGTCAACAACATTATGTTGTGCATAATTTCTGAATCTATAGTTATGAAATTATGGATGTATAGTTATGAAATTCTGGATGTATAGTTATGAAATTATGGATGTGTAGTTATGCAATTCTGAATTGGACAACCCATCAACTTGACTTAACTCGGAGTCTAATTGATACACTTTTTCTTGAAGAGTTAATTCTGTTCCAATGCTCTTACTTATTTTATCTCCAACCACAACCAATGTATTACTTAAAAATTTAAAAATACTTGAGAGTTTTGAGAAAACGTACTTAATTAAGGTTGACCTAGAATGATTATTGTACAGGAAGTCAGGAACGACTATCTCTCTTGATCGTAAAATAATACACAACTACATCTAGAAGGGAAGGTCAGACATTAATTTTAGGTTAAAAAAGGAGGATAATTTTGTCTCAACACTATCTTTTTTTCGTCCTAAAATCCATGGAATTAAAATCCCCCGAGAGAGAGAGAGAGGGGGGGGGGGGAGGGGGGGGGGGGGGGGCATTGGATTTTAATTCCATGAAAATGGTAGAATTGCAATTCCTTCCAATCAAACTTATGATTTTAATGGCCTTTGGAATTAGGTGGGAATGAATTTTAAATTCCCCCAACCAAACGCCCTGTTAGTGGCTAAGAAATTGTTGAGTTGAGATCAGTAAATAGTCAAGTCCATCATATTATTTTTCAAAAATATGATGACGGTACATAAGAAAATAAATTAAAATTGCTTCTTTGTTATAACTTGGTGTAATGGTAAATGTTTGATCCTAACACTATACAATTTATGACTATAATTTTTTATTTTTTATTTAGTTTCCTTAGCTTAATAAAGTGTCTATTTTGGGAAAGGTACCAATGGTATTTATTTTGTATTAATGTTATTATTCTTCAATATAGAGGTGGTTTGGTAAGTGGTTCACTCTCTCACCAATTAAATTACTGAAAAAACTAATTTTATGGGATGTGTTTAATTTGATGGGAAAATTAAATTAATTGACATGTTCTCAAATATGCACCTATTACATGCAAACAACAAAGGGCTGCAAAAAGTAGTCATTGAATATATTGCATACATCCGTTATTCTCGGTAAACGGTAAAAGAATTCGACCACCCTTAGTTCAAATAACTTTTTCTCTTTTAAAAATCACACTCTTAACTGACACAAATTTTCTTAAGTCAAAGTAATATACAATCAAGATTGAAAAATATGTTACGTCCTAGTCGGGCGCCAAAGACTCGCTTAGCGTGTGAATTATATTCTATTAGCATACAATACAAATGGTGAAAGAAAATTTCAGCTCCATTTACTCCTCCACCTGCCATGCATATATTAGTAGGGTATATATATATATATATATATATATATATATATATATATATATATAGGGAAGGGATCAGGTGCATTTGAGGCTTCCCATGCGGTTGGACGCACGTTAAGCATTACTCTGAGGCATTTACAATACAAACACACGCACATTGTCTACTATTGTTACATACTCACATATATGAACCCTTGCTTCCCTGTATTCACACTGATCTATTCTACAAATTTGTTTGCACTGTAGTAGATTTGAACTTCTGGTATGCATTGTAGTGGAGTGGTGTGTTAATCATTTTCCTTTTACTTCTGCAAGATTGATAGATACACTGGAGCTGATGAAGCATGGCGTGAAGCGGCTCCTGGTTCCCAAAAGTGTTGTTAGGAAAGGCATGAGCAAGCGGTTCTCTATTCTGTATAATGGAAAGTGGCTCAAGAACATTCAGGCTACTGCAAATTCCAACCAACCATCATCATTAGGCATTAAGCACAAAATCATGCATGTTAATCACAAGCCTCACGCATCTTAAGCACAAAACTCACGCATGTTAATCACAAGCCTCACGCATCTTAAGCACAAAACTCACGCATGTTAATCACAAACCTTACGCATCTAGAGGAACATAGTAATCCTACACACGAAGATTAAAATAGAGTGGATCGTCCACAACACATGGTTACCTGAAGAAAATAATCTTTCCCGACTTGGCTGTTGTTGCTGCTATTCCCAATTTTTGGCGTCGTAATGGCTCTGCGTTTGCTTCAGCTTTGATGCTCAGGATCACAACACAACAAAGTCCGAAAGGGCTGTCTGTGTTTCCTTCCCTTTTCTTCTGATTACTTTCATGGTGGTTTTGGGTCCACAAATGATGTGTCAGTATTCATAAGTAACTGCTTGACCAAAAACAAAGCAAATAAAGAGAAACTGTAAGCTGGAGCATTAAAACATCACTCGAAACACATTCACGCACATTAAACACAAACCCCACACACGTTAAGCACAAGATTCATGCACATTAAGTACAAAACTCACGCACATTAATCAACCGCACGGGAAGCATTCAACCGCACCTGAACCTTTCACTATATATATATAGAATAAAGTTCAAATGCGGCGGAGTCTTCCCGTGCGGCGGTGCGGCGGAATTCCAGAATACACCAACAGTGTTAACAATATGCACCAACAGTGTTAAAATAACACACCACAATGAAATGCAATAAAACATCACAAAATACACAACACACTCAAAAAAATACACCATATAACTCACCACCCCCAATGGTGTATTTTCGAACAGTGTATGGTGTTTTTAGTCACACCTAATGGTGTGTGTTTGGTGATGCGGGGCTCTATTTACTCTGTTTTTTGTGGTGTATTTTTCTAACGATAGTGCATATTTGTTGAACTATTGGTGTTGCCGCACCGTAAGACACCGCCGCACCTAAACTCCCCCTCTCTCTCTCTCTCTCTCTCTCTATATATATATATATATATATATATATATATATATATATATATATATATATATATATATATATATATATATATTATATTGCACATGTCTTTAGGTTTGAAAAAAAATTAATTAAATAAAAAATAATAACTTGGCACTCAGTTCACTTGGCCGATTTTGCCGAGTTAACTCAGCCGATTGTGCCAAGTTAGGCGCCTAGTCGACAAGTTAGGCGGCCAGCCGACTAGGTGGCTCCTAAATGTTAAATCGTCACGGTTGGGTGGTGCCTAACGTCTAGACGTGATTTTTACAACACTGATTGCAATATTAATAATTTCCTTCTTTATTCGATTCTATCTAAATATTTATTTTTATTTTTATTTTGTGCTAGGTTACAGTAATATCATGGCAGTGTTTATTTTATTTTATTTTATTTTATTTTATTTTATTTTTTTTAATAGTTATTTTTATTATAATTATTTTCGTATATATTTTGAAGTATTTTGTAGAAAACGTAATCTCATTGAATTATTTTGTGGTCAATACCTTTGAATACGAACTTTCATTTATGTGCATGCGTGATATTATCTTTTGACTGAATATGCTTTTTATTCATGTGGGGTCACATTTATTATATATTCGTGAAATGGATCTGGTCGGATCAATATTGAAATGTAATATTTATATTGAAAAATGTAATATTAATAAGGAATAAAGTGTTTGCTTTTAGAAAGAAAAATGTAATACTTTTGAGAAAATGTAATACTTTAACATTTTGATGTAAAAGTATTACATTATATATTAATCAAAAGTATTACTCTCTCTTATAAATAATGTCGCCAAGTGTTTGTTAATTGTTACTTATAGAGAAAATGTTATACTTTTGAGAAAAAATATAATACTTTTAAATCAAAATGTAAAAATAATATATTTTTTTCTTCAAAAATATTACTCTCCCATAATAAATACTTAATTCTTGATTATTATTACATTTTTTAGTAAAAGAATTACATTTCATCTTGATCCGACCTGTCTCGCAAACAAAGATTCGTGAGATGGTCTCACACAACTTTTTATCTTCATGTAGATATCATTATCCTAACTATTAAAATTTATTGAACGGTTGATATTGTTGTTCAGCATATCCGAGGTTAATATGACCGAGTTTAATATATTGCTATTGAAATGTGGTGTTGATTATCTACTATACTAATACGAGCCAAAAGCAGTTAGGCCTATAATGGGTAGAGAAAATGACGGTCAAATTATTAAATCAAATGAATAGTTCAAATTGTTCAGATTTTAATTTTCTAATATATATATATATATATATATATATATATATATATATATATATATATATATATATATATATATATCTACTATACTAATAAGAGCCCAAGAGGGTTAGGCCTATAATGGGTAGAAAAATGGCGGTCAAATTTTTTAATCAAATGAATGGCTCAAATTTATCAGATTTTAATTTTTCTTTGAGATTTCCTAATTTATCCTTAATGAATATGATTATCCGTTAACTTTTCCGTTAAATATTATCTTTTCCGTTAATTTCTGTTAGTTCACCGTTAACTTACATTGATTTCAATAAGAAAGTTCTTCGGTTTGAACCTCATCCCAATCAAAGTTGGCATAATTAGTACTCAATTTTACTCTTATTAAATTAAAATAATAATTTAGTAGCTACAACAAAAAATAATACATATGCATTTCTTTAATTTAAAATTATGTGTCTACAATGCCTTTATTAAAAAAAAAAATATATTCATTATCA